ATAGCCTGCCAACTTCAGTTGAGGGAGAAGCCCATTAGCTTGTAGCTGGGAGGGAAGGTTGCAGACCTGAGTGATGATCCCTGGGCATCCTGATCCTGCAGAGGCTGCTTCCTGGAGCAAGGAGAAAGCCTTGGGTTCTGCTCCCAAAGCTGTTGGGCCCGTGGCTATTCTGCTTCAGGCATAGCTCTGCATCCCCATTCCGTGTGGCTCATCCAGTGTGGTCCTGCTGGATCTTCCTCAATGGCAGGACACACAGGAGAAGGGGTAGGAGAAGCAGGAGCAGTGGTAGTGGTTGGCAGCCTGGTGTTCCCCGTGGAGACATTCAGTTTTGCAATGAACCTCTTGGATTCTTGACGGGTCAGGTCTGTTGACCCTTCTGGGCACACTATGGTAAGTGTTTAGTTATTTACTAAAGCCTTTTGAAGGGAAAGTGGCTTGATGGGGTCTGAGGCTTTTGTGTTGTGGAGAGTTGTGTGAGAATCTTTGCTGGGGTTAGCTATTAGCTGATTGTTTAATTATTTGGCTCTGTAACTAAGTAACTAAATGCCTTGAGCCTTAAGATAAGCAGCTCTTTGTTAACATTTTAATAAATGGAGACAAATAATAATAATTTAAAACCTAAGGAAATGTAAATCTCCCGTTTCAGTGACCAAATCTTGAACGGCAGCATGATTTGGAATATAACTGCATATCTCATAATAACCTGAAATAGAGCATTCAGAATGTCCCCAGCCCTCAGTTGAGGCCATGGCTTTTGTACAAATGGTATTTACTCCGTTTGATGGCTGGATGGCATAAACCATGCTGCAAGACTGCATGAGCAGGCAAGGAAAAAGTTCACGTCTGTTTATTTAACAGCAGCTTGGTGTTCCATGGCTGTATTGTTCAATAGCTCCACCTATAAAGTTAAAATACATTGTGTGCACCACTATTACAAATAAGGATGTAGCTGAGAGCAGACAATAGCAGAAGCAGCGTGTCCTCCCTTGTCCCCCAGTGTTTAAGAACACCACCAGGAATTTCATGCGTGCCTTTGTTGCTTGTTTGTTTTTTCAGAGGTGATGGACGGGTGTTATTCACAGCAGGTAATGCACCTTTGCAGCGGGAACTAATGCTACAATTATAGGATTTGCAGGAGAACCTGCTAAGAAAGGCATCTCGTGCCACCTTCCTGTGGCTGTGCAGAGCTCACCCAGCAAAGGGATGATGATGATGGCTGAGGGATGGAGTTTCAAGGCAGAGCTTCAGAGAGGGCTGGAGGAGCATGGCTGTGATAGCAGATCACAGAATTAAGAATCACATGGGGTTGGAAGGGACCTCTGGAGATCATCTAGTCCAACCCCCCTGCCAAAACAGGTCCACCCAGAGCAGGTTGCACAGGAACTTGGCCAGGTGGGTTTTGAATGTCTTCAGAGAAGGAGACTCTACCACCTCTCTGGACAGCCTACTCCTGTGCTCTGCCACCCTCAAAGTAAAGAAGTTCCTCCTCATGTCAAGCCAAGATCATCAAGCCTTGCTTGGTGTTGCAGGCTCGACAAGGGGATTTTCCCCTTCTCCCATCCGGGTATTTGCACTAAGGGAAAATTCAAGAGGATGTGGGTGAAAACACCAGAGGATGGGTACGAGTGAGGGCTGAGCAAACTTTGCAGCCTTATTTCTCTAGTACACTCAAAAGACGTGGAAACAAGGAAAGAATGCTGATATCAGCCCCAGGGGAACCATTGGTATGATTGTACAGCGTTCCCAGGAGCTCAACACTTGTCCCTAAATTTCAGAGCAGTGTAAAAATCCTCGTGAGGTGTCCCGGAGAGAGAGTTAACTTTGCAGCATAGGTTGTTTATGTGGTGCCGGGAATTTTTTTTTAACAGTTTAAACTGGTTGATTTTTGCAGCGAAGCTGTTGGGCGGACTCATGCCTCAGAATCCCACCTGTTCTCTGTTTGCTTTTGGGCACCATTTCAAACCCACACTGGAAAAAGTTTATAGGCAAACATTATAAAAAGTGACAGTCTTAAGTGCTGCTACATTCTAGTTTGGCAACACAAAGGCTTACCTGAAATAACTTGCTATTTCCAAACATGACTTCATTATTTCATGACAACACTTTGTGCTGTATCTTTGCTGATACTCAAGAGAGAAAGAAATGGAGGAGGATAATATTTACCAAATGCTAATATCTATCTGAAAGTTGTTTTTCTTCAGTGTACTAGTAATTCTCCTTGTAAAAGGAATTTTTTTCTAATTTTGAAATAAATTGCTGTTCTTGAGTTTCAATTTAGATTTGTATTGAAAGACTCAGTATAAATTTGGAGGTAATAGTTAAAAAGAGCAGGATGGGAGGTTGAAAACTATTTCCCTTGTAATTGCATGAGAGCAACTGATCTGCCCGGGAGGAGGCTGTGACCATCCTGTGAGTTTCCTGGGGCTCCTCAGCAAAAGCCGCTAAAGCACTTAAAGGAAGGTTGGGTTATCTTCACCCTCAGTGGCTTTTAAAAGGTTAAACAAAGACATTTTTAAAGACTCCTGTACATTGTTGGCACAGCGTAAACTCTGTAAAAGAAATTTTCTTTGCAGGTAGAGCATTACAGAGAAGTCTTAAAAACTTCAAAGTAAATTAGCTAGCTGGCTTCAGCTACTTTTTTTTATTATATTACAGTGGAATCTGAATTGAAAAAAAATCTCAAGCAGACTCATATATACTCATTACTGTTACAAAATGTATGTAGAAAGGAGCCCTTGCTCCTTCTGGAAATTAGCAGCATAGCATATTGCTCAGTGAAACACCTGCATTGCAGATCGTGCAGACGAGTGAGGCTGAATTAGTTTATAAGGAGTATGAGGCTGTATTGTATCTTGTCCTAGACTCTGAGGTGGAACTTTGCATGCTAGAAAGTTGAGAGAACTTGATATAAAATCTAAATCCAAGAATCTTTACAGTCTCCGTAACTGGTCTTGTTTAAATGGCTTTATGTACTTGTCCTGCCCACCTTCTTGATGTGATGCGTGTGTCAAATCTATTGTTTGAAAAACCATATTTGCCCTAAGGAAAAAGCCAGGAGGAGCTTTGCCAAGGGCACATCCCTGGACCTGTTCCCCCTTGGCTTCAGGCAAACTCCCACTGAACTCCCTGAAATGACATGATTCCAGGATGAGTGGGAGGAGAAATTGGGCACGCTGCTTTCAAGTGCATCCATATAACCCAATATTTAAGTGCATGAGTGTCCCCCTGTGGTGGCCACTTCTGGTGCTCATAGAATCATAGACTGTTCTTGAGTTGGAAGGGACTCGTAAAGATCATGAAAAGGTCACGGATTTGAGAAGCTGCGGCTGCCCCATCCCTGGAGGGGTTCAAGGCCAGGTTGGATGGGGTTTTGAGCAACCTGGTCTGGTGGGAGGGGTCCTTGCCCAGGGCAGGGGGTTGGAACTGGATCATCTTTAAGGTGCCTTCCAACCCAAACCATTCTATGATCCTTAAGTTCAACTCTCTCCTCTCTGAAGGACCACCTGAAGCTGAAGCAGAGCTTCAGCATTTCTTTCCAAACTCCTGCCCACAGGCTAGCTCAGATGTGATGCTTGTTTCAGACTTCTCTGTTGAAGGTGTGACGCAAGCAATGAGAACACTGTGCCCAAGGACAAGGAACACGGGTTTCAGGGTTTCAATATTCTTAGAAGCAAGGGTGGACACCGAGGAGTTGCCTGTTTGAATATTCCCTCAGACTCTCAAACAAACAGAAAGAGGTGTGTGTTTTATTTATATATGCCCAGAGGGGTGCACAGTTGGTGCCTGCGTGGGGAAGGATGTGTGCCGGGGAGCAGCTGTCTGTGTGATGTGACCCTCCTTCTGAGCAAACAGAAGATGCCTTCATGCTGCTCTCCCTTATTTACTTTTCATGGTGGCATTGGCCAGGCTAGGAGTCATGGGAGAGGGATATTGTGGTTGGAGGGAGAAACCAGTACAAAAGCAGTCCCTATACTGGGCACAGCTCGAGTGTGGTATAGGTGTGGTGTGGGGAGTCCCTCCACGCTGTGCCCAACCATCCTGGGTGCCCAGGGCCACGGTTCTCTTCTCCCTGCTCAGAGCTGGCCTTGGAAGGGGGTGGTGAAGCCCCAGTAACTACAGTCAGATGTAGTTTTCCAAGGATGTTTTTTTGGAAAAAGGCTGTGGTTTGACATTCTTCTCATTATTTAGTTACAAAAAGGAACTGATGGATGAGCCATTTTGTTTTGAACTTCTGTGTAAGCTGTGACTTTGAAAGCTTTGTTTGTGTTCCCGGGTTTCTGCTGTGTTCCTTCAGAAGAGGCTGCGAAATAAGAAATGAAAAAAAAAAATAAATTAAAGAAAAACGTTACTATCACTGGGACCAGAGTTGGCAGTGTAGAAGGCAAATATAGAGACTTTGGAAAAGGTGCAGGGAGGAAAAAAAAAAGGATATAATATATGCTGTGTTTAGGAAATCATGTTTATTAGCTTAGCTAGTGAAGGGTGTTTGGCCTTCATTTTTGTCTAACACAGCTCTTTTCTTTCTCTTTTTAAATTTTTTTTCTTTTAAAAAATCGGAAGGGGAAACATAAATGTTTGTTCAAATCATAGACACGGATACTAAGATATAAAACTGAATTTGCTTTCTGAACTCCTCCTGGCTCCTCCAAATCCGTTGAAGCCCCCGGGTTCAGCAGCACTCATCTCCCCAGGGTTGGCTCGCTGTGACCAGCGAGAAGGGTAGTGCCTTTGCGTGACACTTGGGACAAGGCACGTGCCAAGACACCAATGAAAAGAGACCGAGCTTTCTTTGTGGTGGACTTCTTGAAAATAAAGCCTATCCCATACCTGCATATGGTTCAGTTTTATGAGACAGGTAGCTGGGCTAATCTGGATGCAACTTTTTTTATTGAACGTAACTTGATTTCTGTGGATGAAAAGGGCCTTCACTGACTTTTGTTGGAAATTCTCTCCTTTCCCTTCTCTTTCTTCTTTTTCCTCCTTTCCTTCCACCTTCGCAGAGCCGCCAACCAAATACCAAATCTCTCAGCCAGATGTTTATTCAGCACTTCCAGGAGAACCGCTTGAGTTGCGCTGTCAATTGAAAGACGCCGTCATGATCAGTTGGACTAAGGATGGGCTCCCTTTGGGGCCCGACAATAGGACAGTGATTATTGGGGAGTACTTACAAATTAAGGATGCTACACCCAGAGATTCGGGCCTCTATGCTTGCACTGCTGTTAGGACCCTAGACAGTGATACTCTGTACTTCATTGTAAATGTTACAGGTGAGTGAGTTAAACATAGGTTTTTTGCATGTAGAAGCTGTAAAATGTGATATAAAGACACATTTTGATTTAACATGAAACAGTCCACTCGGGCACAGGGAAGTTGAGTTGAGTTCTGTAGTTAATTCAGGTATTTTCCCCCTTGTCCTGACCCTGAAAGGGACTCTGTATATATTCCTTTTACTTCACGGGATCTATAGTGATTAACAGCTGCTGAAGAGCACTCTGTTTTATGCCACTATGACAGGATTAAATTATACAGAGTCACTGTGATGATGATAAAGCCAGTAAAATGAACACAAGTTTAATCACCTCGCATCAGAAGAGGAACAGGGGTGTCCTACACCCTTTAAGTTGAGAGATAAATTGTTGTGGAGACGCTCAGTTCTGCTCAACTGAATGTCTTAAAGAAAAATAAAAATTGTAAGTGGAAAGATATTTTTTTGGAGTTAGCAAACTCCCTTTGGTAACCTTGTAGCATTTTGGGATTATTAGCTAGTTTTGTTAGCATTTTATAAGAATAACACACATTTTGTGGCTGGATTTTCTTCTTCTATAGCTTCTGCACAACTAACACAACATCCGTTCTCCTTGCTAGATAATCAAAGATGTAGCGTATTGGTTTATTTGTCTGGAAAAATAGGCTGGTTTAAAGACTTGATTATTTTTAATGTGCAGATGCTCTTTCTTCTGGGGATGATGAAGACGACAATGATGGGTCCGAGGACTTTGTGAATGACAGCAACCAGATGAGTAAGTAACAGCGAGCTGCCAGAAGTCACTGTAGCAAGATCCACGTGGAAAATAATGTCCCATCTCTCGCACTCCTGCCTTCAGAGCTTCTTGATTGTTAACTGCATGGGCTGTCAAATAGTGGCATCTTTGTCCTTCTCTGTTTCCTGTTTCACGTAGTCCATAACTTGGAAAAGAAAAAGAAAAATAAACTAATATTCTTCTAAACACACTTTACTGGTCTGTACTTTCTTTCTCCCTTCTTGCTAGCTTTTCTGTGGTTCCCTTTCTTCTTGTATTGAAGTTCAGTCTTTGGTTTAGCCTCTCTCTAACTTTCCCTGAACCTGAGCTGAAATTTAACAGGAGCAGCAAAGATCCAGCTCACTTTGTTAAAAGGTGGTATGGAAACTTTAAAAATAAAATTAAGTTGTAAAGAGGTAAATCCTTCGATCCTTAATCTTGGCAGAAATCTCCCCGGGGAGAATGAATTTGGAGACAATGAGGTTCTTTTGTCTGCGAAGAACCTCAAGGTTTTGTCACAAAGAAAGCAATCCAGCACTGAAACCACATTTTATGTTACTTATGCATGATGAAAATGGGCTAAAAGAGTCTTAAACCTATCTGAATGTTAAACTTCAGTCCCTTCAGAGAATTTGGAAAGCTATTAATAGGCTCTAAATAGAGCAGTTGCTAAGAAAAAAAATATGTAAAATTCATATTGGTTCCTTATGCCCCTGTGCACTGTTGCAAAATCCCCGTGGTGCCTGGTAGTTTGCTATCACTCGTGCTTCGTAAAGTCAATAACGGGCAGAACACAGAAATCCTTCATGCGAGATGTCAGGTACCTGCCGGACGCCGTAGCCAGGTAGTATATTTTCTCCTCAGCCTGATTAGTAATTAGCAGCTCTACTGTATGCTCGAAGCACTTGCTCAGATGATCAAGTTAGGAGCCCTTTCAGCTCCCCTAGTTAGTTACCGTTGTATACGACTGCCCCTGGTCTGAAGCTGTGAAACATTAGATGCTCTTTAAAATGATATAAGTTCTGAGCTGCCTGTTTGGCCCCTGCCATCTGTTAGTGTGATTAGCCCGGCCTGATTCACAGGTGCAGCTTGAAGTGGCTGAGATTAAGCAGCTGGAGGTTGCTCTGACAAAGGAATGTGGTGGCAAAGATAATTGGTGAGTTTGGGAAAGGGACACTGCTTTTAAAAGAACTTTTCTGGGCAAAGCCAACCGACCTGGGCAATGTCAGCGTTTTCCTCTGAAAGGGGACTCGTGGGTAGAAGTTCTTTTTAGGAAACATCCCTATGTCTGTTATGGCTTCAGAGCCGGTCAGAAAAAGGACTAGCAATATTTTTGGTGTGTTAGAGAAGACAATCATGCGTCTAATCCTGATGGCTTTGGAGATTCATGGTGAGTGCAAGTGGATTTTGGAAGCGCCTATAGCGAGAGAAAAAGGAAAAGGACCTGATCTCAAGGCATCTGCGCTCTGTGACATCGTGGTGAGGATCCCTGCCCTTCCACACAACGGGGAAGAACTACCCCGTGGTGTCCTCTGTAACGTGAGTGATGTCCTTGCTATGGGAGCTATCATTTTAAGCTACTGGTAATCAATCTTGATTCAGGAGCTGCTGAAAGGCCATTGACTGTTTCCGTCGGGCAGGGACGGGCTGTGTACTTTAGCAGGGGTCAGTCACACTTTCCCTGCTCAGAATGAAAGATGCCTCTAGAGCGTGAACGTTCAAACATCTCAGATGGTGGGGAGAGCACCAGCTCTTGTGGTGCGGAAGGGAGGAAACTACAAGAAGACAGATTGCTCCCGAGCGGAGCGTTGTACAAACAAATCCTCGTGAGTTTGCACTTATCGAGGTGCCCAGGAACTTCTCGCAAGCTTCAGAGGGACACGGGGAGCAGCACAGTCGTCCTTCTCGTTTCTGGGAGCTCAGCGGGAAGAACTGGAACCAGAGGAATGGTGGTGGCACCGCATCCCTACAAGCCATCTGTTTTCAATGAGAAGTTGCATCACAGCCACTTGATTGGATTAATACAATTTTGCTGAAAGAGAGTTGTGTTTTGGCAAGATCAGAGCGGCATGAAAGTTGGGATGGGACTGAAGCTTGCGTATCTAACGTCTCTTAAGCTTTTCCATCAGTATTATTTGGTATTCCTCTTCTAGATGTTTATATCTAGTTTAAGAAACTGTTGCAAGACAGAGTGAAGAGTGAATGAGGAGTTGAGGAATAGTGTCCCTGAGCCTGTCACGTGGCAGATGTGTAGTGGCCAAGTGCCCTTTACCGCCTTCTCCTGCCTGGGGAAGTCCAGGCTCTCAGAAGAGCCCCTGGTTGCTGCTCTGTAAGAGAAGAAGTCTTTAAGTGTTTCCTGAATCATGGTTTGAGCTTTGCAGATCTAAAACAATTTAACTGATAATTTACATACAAATTACAGCTGTGATCATTAAGGATAAGCAATGGAAATTGGCCTGGTTATGCCTTTACTGATGGAAACAAAAGGCCATAGTCTTCAAAGGTTGTTGCTTTTTGATGAAACAATTCTGATAAAGTCCAGCTGTCCTGGCATGTTAATTATGATGTGATGAGGCAGGAAATGGCTGTAGTGCCTTCCACAGGAAACTGAACCTTGGCATTCTCATTCCTGCATATTTAAAACTAAAGCGAACCTTTTAGAGCTGTTTTATTTACAATGGTAAGTATTCTTTTAAGCTTTTTTTTTTTATTTCCTTTGCCTCTGTTACAAATATATTTTCAGAGGCCAAGGTTTTCCAGTGCAGGCAGAGAGGCTGGTGAGGAAATCTAGCCTAATTTTCAAGGCTGCCCAGAAAAGATAACTGCACTTGAAGGCAACGGGGGCTGTAAGTGGCTCGGTAGCTGCGAGGAACAACTTGCTCTTGGGAGAGGAGGGCACTCGTGTGTACACGTGTGCGTTTGACCATTTGCCCTGTGTGTATTTTTAAGTAAAAGGCATGCATCGCAGATTTCACTCTGCGTTTGGTGTCCTTCTAGCTTGACAGATATTTTAACTGTCTGAAAAAACACTGTGGTAGATTTGTTCCAGACTGCATCCTGCATAGCTTTTTATTACTTCCAGCTTTTGTTGAAGGGATTAGTGCTTGTGGGGAAGGTGCAGGATTGGTTCCACTGCAAAATAGTCCTCTCTCTCCACAAAACGACTTTGTTGGCAGCTCAGTTTTTCCCTTCGTTGCCCTAAAGAGGGGCTTCAGCTTGGTTCTGGAGGGTCACCTCCAAGGACGTTGACCTGGGACTTCCTTTTACAAAGCCAAGGGCTGATCATGGTCAGTTCCTGCTGGCAGTGGTGGAAAACATATTGCTGGTGCTTGTTGCCTTGTCCTCATCGTGATTTTGAGAGGTAGCCCTAATTTAAGGGACTTCTATAATCCTGGCTTGGTGCTGGCAAGGCAACAGCTGTCGTGATGGTTGCACTGAGGTCCACGAATGTTAATTTAGTCTGGAGACCCCTGGGTAGCCCTGAAGATGTTGCTTTTCTGCCTTGAATTCTGGTCAGGTGACTGGAAGCTTTATGGCTTTTTTCCTTATCACCCTTTAAACAATTTCTTCTGGGCCAAGCAATGGTAAATTGGCACCGAGAACAAAAAGTATCTAAATGTAATCCACATGCTGTTCTTTTCATGCCTTGAAGAATTTCAGAAAGGATGAAACAAGGTTCAAATTCATCAAATCCTGTAGAGTGGAAACCCACTCAAGGGAGCAGCAAAAATTGGATGTTGCCTAGAAGTGTTTTTTAATTAAAGGTCAAATACAATAGTACTGAAAACCTTGGGAGGGGGTGTGTTGATGTGGTCATTTCGGTCGCGCTATTGTCTGCTCGAGGTGCTTGTCAGGCAGGCTTGGAGTTGTATGTCTTTGTATTAGATAAGTCCAAATAAAAATTGAGGAGTCCTGAAGTGAAGTGGTCCCCTGGGCTGCCTAATTTCAATTTCACATGCAGGAGATTTGCCTGATTAGATGTAATGTATTTGCAGTGGAGTGCAGTGTGGGTCAGCAGGATATTTTCTTCACTAATGAGAGCTCTAAAAAGCAATCAGGAATTCCCACCCGTTCCCCTGCTGCTCGTTACTGCTACGGGCCGGAGTCTGCCCTGTTGTTACTGTGATCTTTTAACAGTGGTGCTACCTTCTTCCACCTGTCCTGTTGGCAAAGAGGGGATGCCATGGACATTGTCTGTAAGAGGAGTCGGCACTTGGTGCTATCTACTTCTCAACCACGTTCCTTCTTGCTTTTAATCAATCTGGATGTTTTCCCTCTCAAGACAAACAGAAGCAGTAAAAGCTGCTTTTAGGTTTTGGCAATTTAATGGATAAAGAGAAATCAGTTAATCGAATTGTGCGTTAATCGAATCAGTTGCTGTACGAAAGCACAAAACGAGGGTGAGTGTTAGGGTTTGTGGATGTTGCTGCCTTTTTCTCTTTTCCCTTAAACATACTCAGGAGCTGCCAATATACGTTGCTACTGCCTAGTGAAAAATGATGGGATGGCTTGAAGCGTTTTCAACATGTGATGTCCGCATGTTTTTCTCCAAGCTCCCCTGTAATTCCGGAGCATTGCAGGTTACTCTGAGGGTTGTGTGAGGGGAAGCTTTCCAAGTAGAGCCCTTTTTCCCAGCCCAGGGAGTTTCCTTTCCCCTTCTCTCCGTGGCACAGAACTGAGCCACTTCTCTCCATTCTCTTCATTCCTCTCCATCCTCTTCTCTGCTCCCACCTCTTCCATAGAGCAAAGTCTTTCCTCCCTGTGCATTAGCTGTATATGAGGCTTATTAGAGCACTTGTTTTCCATGAGCAGAGTTGTTTTCTTTCAAGGGGTGTATGTTGATGAAAGAGGGAGGGTTACATGCAAGAAAACCAGAGGATGAGCTGCACCATAATGCAGTAGAAACCTGGCTGCACAAAGCAGCCTTGTTTGGGGAACTTGGTGGTTGGATCCTGACCCTGGTCCTGGGCTACACACTGATGGGAGCTTCTCTGGAGCTGGGTCCATCCAGCCTGTGCTCACCTGGGCAAGCTGAGGAGCCTGTGGTTCAGCAGTTGTGCTTGCTGGTGGCTGCTTCTATAGACATGAGAAGGCACATGTGGTGAATGTGATGAGAAGCGACCGTGCTGGCTGCAAAGTTGCTGGGTTGGCATTGCCCATTTGGGGTCAAATTAGGCACTCTGCTCCATTTGAGGTACCAATATAACTGGTTCAGATGGTTGATTGGCTTTGACCTGCCACAGTTTACTTTGACTTTGTGGGAATTGTGGGTAGGGCCGACTAGTGGTCACCTTATATTGCCTTGTGGAAGATGTTTAGCGATCCAGAGAAAATACCCTCTTAAAACATCAGTACCAACATATAATTCCGCCTTTGCCTGGTATACTTGTAACGTAATTTGGTCTTTGCGTGCAGTAGTTAATTCCTTTGGTTGGCTTTCTTTGAAGTCTTCTGTTATTTTAATGCAATCCTGGTTTTAGCAAATAATGTTAACAGTGATTTTCCTTGCATCCCTAATTCACTTTAGTCCATGTAACAATTTCTTAGTGTTGCAGTTAAATTTTCAATAGTTACCTGATTTTCTGTTTTGATTACATGCACAAATTTGCTTTGCTTTTCTACTTCATTAATTTTAACAGTAATTGCCACTTCGGGCAAAAAAAAAATATCACTTATCGGTCTTAGCATCATTATAAGGCTTGCTTTTGGAATGTTTTCTTTATACTGAGAGAGACGTTGTTAAAGGATTTATTCCTGTATTTTCTATCCAGCTGTATTTTTATTTAGAGAGGGGGGTGGCAGGATTTCTGAGTTTGCAGTGATTGTAAGAACTGCTATAAATATTTGAGGAACGGAAGAGTTTATTTATAGTGGAGTGTTAGGCTGCTAATGAAGGAAATGAAACAGGGCTGAGAGAAATGGAGTTATTTTTCTGGACCCCTCTAGTCCTAAAAATTCCACACTAATCTGATTTGCTTCAGGAAAACTCCATTGTAAAATAAATTAATGTTTCCTACTATTAAAAAGATCTTGAATCTTTAACTTTTTAAAAACTGTTATGGTGAGACAACTGAAGTGATGCCATGAAGACACTGTGTAATGTGGCCAAAGTGTTGTGTGGATCCAGAGCATGAAATAACCTTGTGCGTGGATCTGTCTTTCCAAATTTACTTCTTGGGGGGTAAAAACCGATGGGTAGTTGTATGGTTTTGTTCTGCTGTGTTTGCTATACTGGTATTTGACAAACTGTTGAGAACCTGGACAAGAGAGGGGTTTTCCAAGGGCTCCTCATGTGGGCATGGGAAGGAGTGAGTGACACCTTGCCAGGAGCCGGTAAAAGTGATTGCTCCAGTAAACATGGGCTCAGAGAGACACTCCTGTTTTATGCCATGGTGTTGGACATCAGTGAACATTTGGCCTTCAGCAGGCTCACAAGAGTGGGAAATCCCTGCAAAATGATCAGTGGTATGGCTGAGTTTTGCTGATCCTCCATTTGTAAATATATTGTAGTGGTTTCTGTGACAGTAACGGCACAGCTCCCATTGCCGTGGTACACTGTAGGGTTTAGCACACTCCTGGGCAGGTAGGTGTGTTTATCCCCTTTCTAACAGATGGGGCAAGGTTAAGGCTGACACTTCCAACAGGTCTTCTGGCTTGGTCTGAGTGGCTTCAGAGCTGGGGTCCAAGAATCCAAAGCTTGCCAAACGCACGTGGTAACTCAACTTGAGGTCTAAAGCGCCCGATTGTTTGAGTCTGCTGAAAACTCAGTACCTCTGTTGTACTTGACGTGCACAAACCAAAGGATATCTGTGGTTCATTAGTGGAATTTTTTCATAAATTATCCACTCAAGACTACAGACTTGCAAAAACTCTGGTCACCACTTGTGGCACGTGATTTCCAGTCGTGTACTCTTTCTAAACCCTGCTGTCTCTGCTAAAAGGAATGCACGCAGCACTTTGTGTCTTTGGAAAGGGCTGGAAAGGGAGCTTAGTTTCCAAGTACTGATATTTCTGGATGTATCTCTTTGAAACAGGGGCACCCTATTGGACACATACAGACAAAATGGAGAAGAGGCTACACGCGGTGCCAGCGGCAAACACGGTCAAGTTTCGTTGCCCAGCAATGGGGAACCCAACACCGACCATGCGATGGCTGAAAAATGGGAAAGAGTTTAAACAAGAGCATCGTATTGGTGGATACAAGGTATGTTCTCATGATATGATTTTGCAATTTCTGTTCTTGACCAAGCCTATGAAAAGGACAAACCAAAAAACAACTTGCTCAACTCAACAGAAATTCTTTTAATGGCCTTGGATCAAATGTAGAAGCAAAAATAAATAAATAATTGTTTTCTTCTGGGGAAGGGTGGGTGGTTTCTTTGGCGGTTACTGAGCACTAATTCTATATATATTTTTTTTTTTCTCAAATTCAAGTTTGTAGCATAGCAGTGGAGCTAAGGATTATTTATAGAGATTTATTTGGAAAACTAAAGACTGGCTTTGCAAAGTAGAGTAAGACTTTTGCTCTATTCACTTTCAGCCACATTGTTAAAAACATGGCCATCCACTCTGGTGATTGTAGACAGTTTAATAAAAGAAGGGTTGGAAGTCAAAAGTTATTATTTTCTGTGGAGTTTATGGTCTGTGAAACTGAAATGGGAAGCAGAATTTGAGGGAAAGTAACAGCAATTACTTACAAGGGTTTGTTTGAATTTTAAACAGCTTCAGATTAGATGGTTCCTTCTAAATTGGTGGTTACTGATTAAGAGAGAGTTTTAGGGAGGCCAGCTTGCTCTGGGGGTTAGTGCACAGACCTTTAACCTCCCGGTATCTGCCTAGGTCAGGTCAGAAGTCAGGGTTCGGTCATCTTATCCCACTCCTCACGGGGAATGGCAGTGTGTGACTTTGATGGGAAATTGCTGTTCAAGCACTACCTTCGCCATCCTGCGTTACCATAAACTCCTTTGTGGACCCTCTGTCAGTGGCTTCCTCCTTCCTCGCCCACCCAACACCTCAGCAACTTCAATCCAAAGATGAGAAATTTCCCAGTTAGTCACCTTGTGTCACGGTTGTAAGCCCCAGCCTAGAACATCTGCTGAGGAGCTCAGAGCAATTTGTAATGGTAATTAAGACAGAAGTTAACTGACTTTTCCAGACGACACAGTAAGCTCAAGAGTGAGTCCTGGGGGCTGCTTTACCCCAGTGATTACCCCAGTATTTTCAGGGTGCGGTGTTTTGCAATACCCCGATGGAGTCAGGGTGTATATTGCTTCATGGGCTGTTGACTCAGATCCTGCTTGGTACAAAAAAATATGTTTTCCAGTGCAGAGGAGGACAAGCCTTAGTCTCCTTTCCTCTCTAGTTAGATTTACTGTAGAAAGTGTCAAATTTTCCAACATTTGTGTTAGCAGAGAGCGAAGCCCAGAAAATCTCCCTGCATGAACGCTAATTATCTAAGTAGACTTTTCCATCTATGTTTGCTTACACCATAAATTACTGTTGCTTATGAGTCTACACCTGGCAACACCTTCTGCCTTTCATAACGCTGTGGAGTGTTAACGAATTGGCTACAATTCAGTGATTTTCACCTTTCTCAGCGTGTATTTAAAAACAAAACAAAAATGCCAATTAAAAATCCCCTGCAAACTAATCCAGACTTGGAAAATAATAGTAACTGTTTCAATACTAACTGAGACATTATTTGAACACTTTACATCTCATGAAGGAGAAATTCAGATGCCACTCTTGAAAACAGTGAAGGAAAACATGTGTCTTGCAAGGCAGGATGGAGGTACTTGGTGTCCTTGATGTACATGTAATTCTAGATCATAACTTACGTCTCTTTAGTCTAAAGGAAAAAGAAAGGGGGAACAGACATGGATTTTAGACTTTGTTGTTGCTCAGAAATACAGCAGACTGTAAATGATCTGATAGCTTTTATATATCGTTGTCATTCTGCTTACCAAACCCATGTAGAGTCCAGATTCTGTTGGTGTTTTGAATAACCATCTTTTTAAGGTGGAAAGCTTGCTTTTGGTGAATGGGTGTTAAAGAGCAAGGTCTCCAGAGCTTCTGGAGGCTGTGTCCTCTTCTTGTTAGAGGGGTAGGATGAGGTCACTGTGGGCTTAGTTCAAAATTATTTTGGAATAAAGAGAGGATTGTATTCTTTTGACATCTTTATACTGACAAACTCGTAATGAAGGAATCCTCAGAAAGGACTAAATCTTTCCTTGTTGGTCTGTTGTCAGCCAGATATCACAGCAAGTCATGGTAATTCTTGCACGCCAGCTTGTCTTCAATCTGGGCGTTACTATATGTAAAGCATTTCTGCCTGAGATCTTCATATTCGTAATACTTTGAGGGACTAGAATTGCTGGAACCAAACTTGGCCGTATCTGCTATCACCAGTTGATGTAACCCCATTCGTATCTTTCGGAAGAGACAATCATGCCTTGAAGACTTTAAGAACAAAGTAAAGGGAAGGAAAATGTGAAGCTTTACAGTAATCCTCCAGCCACCTCTCTCCTGCTGCCTTGAGCTCAGAAATCTCTTCTTTGTATTCTCTTTATCGCAATCAGATAGTGGCCTGTAGCACTTTGTCCAGCTGCCTGGGGAATGTCTTGAGTCAATTTGCACTCGGGCAGGCTAGCAGGAGGGTGTATATGCTGGCCAAGATAGCTTCCAGAGTGAAATTCCTCCACCATGACTAATTCTGGGTGGTGAATTTCAAAATCGAACCTTTGATGATTTTTCAAGGTATACCCAAAGTTCCTACAGCAAGGAGAAAGGAATCAGTTATTGAATGGCTAAACCCTGTTTAGTCTTGTTTATTTATTTATTTATTTATCCTTTTCTAAAGTGATGAGAGCTCTTGTCTTATTTATTTATTTATTTATTTATTTATCCATTTCTAAAGTGATGAGAGCTCGCTCTTGTGCATTTAAAGGCATTTTATAATTTCTTTGAGTGAACAATCTAAATCCTCTATGAGACACCACAGGAGCCTTTACTTTTCTGTACGCCACCCAGAAAGCAAATGTACTTCTATCAGTTATTACTGTTTAACAGGTGTGTGTTTTTACATGCATTTTGATAAGTTTCATCACTATGGTCATCTTATACACATTTAAAGACAGAGCAAAGACAGAGTTCTGACTCTATAGGAGCTGTAAAAGCCTATGGATTTTGCATGGATGTTCTGCACTTATTCTCTGCTGAGCAGTATATGTCTGAACAGTGTTGATTTTGTGGGGAATCCTTCCTTCACTTGAAATTGATTTACAATTGACCCCTTTAAATAATTTTTTGCTTGGTATTTTTCATGGTATACCTGTTCACTGAAGAGGTGTATTTTAAAATTAAACAGAACTGTCCACAATTTTTTGTATGATATTCCAAAAGCAAAACACTTCTGGGAAATGCTACTTGCTCTTTCCTAGTTTTCTGACCAATATTTCTTGGCATTTTGATTCCAGTTTAGATTTCCACCTCCAAGTTATATCTTAAGGGTGCAGTTGTATGCAGTTGATATTGATAATTTAATTTAAAAATTGAATTGTTTGGAGAGATTCTTTGGGAAGAATTAGTTAAAAATTTGATGGAGAAGATTGCCAAAGAAACTACCTCAGTAATTTGGTAGAAGTGTCCATAGCTGGTCAGGAAAAAAAAAATGTTGAGATTACTTTATTGAGATAATAAAAATATTATTTTTGAGTATGAAGGACAGATAAAATATGAAAATAGGTATTGCAAAGCAATAAAAACAAAAAAAAAAAGAGGGCAAAACCAGTTAAACTCTGTTGACAAAGTGTCTGAAGGGTCAAGCTGTGAATCAGGATATTTGGAATGTGTTTTTGTCCCTGAATTTCCCTGTCAAGAAACAGCAATGACAAATTGGAAGGGGTACCCTGAAGACCAGGTGATGAAGTAGGTGGGACTGGGGGGGTATTCTCTGGGATTTTGGAAGAACTCAATATGAAGTAAGGCTTCAGGGTAGAAATAGTCAAAATAACAGGATAATAGCTGTCAAGGAGCTAGTCAGGTTGGGGAGTTGGAGGAGTTTCCTACAACTGATAAATCTCTGGCTGTGGACACTTGTCCTTTGCTGGACCCCATGTGCCTGGTGAGGATGCTCCTGCTTGTTGCTGCCCTTGTGTTTTTTCCTAGTGGGTTGGTTCACATGAGCTCCCTAATATGTTCTGTCTGCCAGAGGAGCCATCTATTTAAACAGCTTCAAGGGACATAGTTGGCAAAATTTATTAGGCAATATTTGGAGAGCTGTACTGGGACTAGGGACTGACGACAGGTGACTTAAAAAGACCATGTTACCAAAGCCTGGCCAACCAGGGTGTTGTGAGCTTGCGTGGTTGTGGGGACGTGGCAGGACTGTTGCGTGTCTGAGAATGAAAGGTTCAATTTGGGAATCTTCAGCAGAAGATGCCGTCATCCCCAGCAAAGGGGAGCTTTTCTGGGCTTGGCGGTGCTGCACTTGTAACCAGAAAGCACCAAGCCAACAAGCTGAATCTAGTTGAATCCAGATCCATGACATAAATCCAGTTTCGTGACGATGTGTCATAAATGCTTTGGGCCTTTGCAGCAGTTGTTTAGCTTGAACTGAAGAGGCTTAAGCTGTTGTTTTATTATAAAGATATTATCTCTTCTCATTGGAGTTACAAAAAGGGAAATTGCGCAAATACTTTTTAATATTGCCATCCACTTGTGGCTATGAGTTAGTTGTGTTTTCTTATTGAATGCTAAACAATGTCTTGTGTTTTCCTATCAAATTAATTACTTACAGCTTGTTACCAATTTTTATTTTGTTTTAACTTCCGCAGAACCATGATCTGTTCTTCCTGTTTTGCAGTCAAATAGGTTAAAAATGCTTGCTCTGATTCTTAGAAGTGTGATGTAACTTGTAATGGCAAAAAGACAGGTCACTTTGACCAAGTCTCCCACAAAATAGCTCATAAAGAAGTAAAATATTCAGAATATGTAGCTGCTGTATGTGTTATTTACCAGCAGTTTATGGTAGTTATGCTTCCTGATCCAAACTTTGACTTTCAAGGTTGCTTAGCAGAATGATGAGACAATAAAATAACCCTGATAAACTCTATCTAGCTTTATAAACTTATCTTTTAGATCTTCATAGCGTGGAAAAAAAAAATCAATATATATTCCTTTGATATATACCATCAAGAAGTGGGGGCTGGGAAGAGGAGCTGTAAGTTTGGGCTGGAGATTTTGAGGTCATGTTGTCACATATTTCTGCAACACTTGGGTAGCATCCATGCCCTTCACCTGCTGCTGGAGTCTTGTCTACATTTCCTTTGCTTTTCAAAGCCCTCATGGCCATTCATTAGCTAAAATATAATATTTTATATTATATATAAAATAATAATTAGCCCATAACAGACATTACAATAATAGTAAAGTCTGGCTAATGAGCTAATTACTAGCTGGGAGGACTAGGAAATCCAGGAGCCCCTTTCAGAGAGGACTCTCTTCTTCCAAGCTTTGAACTGACAGCATTTTTACCTCCAGCAAGTGTGGGAGCTCAGCTCTTGGCACCGGGGCCAAAGCCCCGCACAGCCTTTTCCTGCTGGATAAGGACCTACGCAACCATCAGGCACGAAGCAGGATTTCAGACCTGTGGTTGTAATGGTCTTTTAAGAATGTATAGTTACTGGAAGTGTCACCGAATGGTCCATAAATTTTTCTGGTGTACAGCACTGAATTACCACTTTCCATTTGGCTGATTAAAATGACTGTACCAGATTGTATTTTTATTCCATTTGCTAAAATACGTACTTTGCAGTTTAGAATTTGTACGTTACAGCTACACAATGTTAAGATCTTTGAGCGCTTTGTCAAAAATGTAATGCTAAAACAAGGGATTAGTGGATAGCCAGCAAAAGGTCATTTTGGGAGCCAACTTATGATGCAGGAAATATATATGTGTACCGGATGACTCTATATCCTTCCAGTATTGGGCTGGATCCTATTTTCTGCAAGACCAATGCCAACGCGCCTTTTGAGTTCAAGTGGGAACAGAATCAGCACCTTTAATACATTCTGTCCGACCGGGATTGTAGGAAATAAATGTATATCCTTATGTGCTGTTTCCATGAGGATTTTCTTCAGGCGTTTTTCCTCAGGCAGCATCTTTGTTTCTGTCTTGTGGTACCCCAGAGCAGCAGGAGATGTGGCTGCTCTGTGTTATCTGTTGGAGAGATCCCAACCCTTGCCCTTCTGTACTTTGTTTTATCCAAAATGTGTGATTGAGCTATTAAAGAAAGACTTAGATGTTAGGGGGGGGTCATATCCATCACTTAATGTTGATGGGGTAGTTAATGTTATCAGATGATTGTTTGGAGACAGATGGGATTGAGAGGTAAAGCCTGGTAAGACAAACTGCTGCTGATTGGTGCCATCCTTGTGGGCATGATAGGACTGAGCATGCATCAACATCTGCAGTGCTCAGGTTGGTGACGAGGTAAATTTATAGCAGAACACCTGAAAATTTTCACTGCTGCAGCCATGCTGTTCTGCATCAGGTATAAATAGAGTATTTCTGTGTCCAGGACTGTCAAACGAGCACAGAAGTGGCTTTTAAACACGGATTACAAAAGGTTAACTCTTCAGAAAACAGTTCTTTTGGAGGGAGCGAGGGTGAAGCTGTGCTAGAGAAGTTTCCAACCTCTCTGGTTACAACCTTCCAGGTCCGCAACCAGCACTGGAGTCTCATCATGGAGAGCGTGGTCCCGTCTGACAAAGGAAATTATACATGCATAGTGGAAAACCAGTATGGATCCATCAATCACACGTACCACCTCGATGTTGTTGGTAAGTAAAACTCAGTCACGTGTAAGACTATGTTTTTAATGAATTAATTTCTCCTTTGAAACATTCAGAACTAAGCCGATGCATTTTGCATTAATTTTGAAGATGATTTCACAGTAGTCTAAAGATAAGATTTGACTACGTAACCAATTGCTATGTAACTTAATTTATTCATCTGTCTGACTCGTGCCTGTAGGACTAATCTACCCATGTCTTGGCAAAGATGTAGTATTCATGTGTGCAAGTGAGTTTGTGTTGCTGTGATACACCTACAAGCTTACCGTGCAGAACGAATAATAAATACTGATGCAATTTTAATCATTAGCATTACAATTTAATTATTACTTGTACCGTTGTGCTAACGCAAATTTTAATAACTGCAGTTATGGAACTGTCGAGTGATCCTTTAGATTGCTGTTATTATAGCGGAAACAATTTTATTGTTTTTAATGCAAAGCTAGATATTGACTTTGAAGCTAGTGGAGGTCTGGAGCTTCAGGAAAGGTGCTTTGCATTCACAGCAGTAGAACAGAGATGTGACTGTAGCCTGTTGTGTGAGCTCTGAGCAGTCCCTGAAACACAGATGACAAAAATTGTGAAGAAGTGTTTTACCTGAGGACAAATACTAAACAGTGTGTGGATTCTTAGTAGTAGCAAAGCTGTGATTCAGCAGGACTATTAAGCACATGCTTAATGTTAACTTAATAATACCAACCTAATAATACCAAAATCCTGTTGACTTTAATAAGGCTTACACATATTTAAGTGCTTAGCTAAATTAGGGCTTGAAATCTCAGAAACTAATTCCATTCACCCCCTACTCTTGCTGATTAGCCTGGATGGGCGTGAGCAGTTTTATTGACTCTGAAGGCATTGGTGTCCCAAAGAGATCAGTTTGGCTGATATAATAAGACCTGCTGGTAGTACCTTTGGGGATCTGAGCTGCAGCTTCTGAAGTATGTCTTGAGTGGGCTTTGCTCTCTCCAGGCTTGTGAGGTGACCTGAGAGTCACAAGCTCTTTGAGTAAAACTTCTGATTAATCAATCGAAAGCAAAAATGAATTTGATTGTTATAAACTATTTTTGTCTGACAGCCCTACTTACCTTCAGTGGAGACCCTTACTGTGAGTTTGGGTTTATATAATCAGAGCAGTGACAAAATTTTCATTTCCCTATTTCTTGATTGGTTTTAATATGAATAAAAATGCATCTCTCACGTTGTTTTGGATGCTCTTTAAAAGTAGCGTCTTATTTTGTCTGGGACCGTTTAAATCTGCGGAAGCTCCCAGATCCAAGTGCTCTCAGGCAGCAAGAAATGAAAACTTTCCCCATGAAAATGCCAGTGGGAGCCATTCTTCATGGAGCAGAGAACAACAGAAGGATTTTGTGGTGGGGATGTCATCAGACTGAAGTCCTACCACCAGCCCCATATGTTTAAGTTTTCAAAGGCAGTCAGTGAACCACCCAGCTCACCTCCACTTGGTTTTAAGTAGCCAACTCCGAAAGTGGTGAGGACTTCTATAGCCTTGGTCATATTTTTGTCATCCTTTATAGAGCAAGCTACAGGTATTGTTGAGGTGAACCGAGTGACTGTCAGAGCCATTTTTGTTTGAACACTTGGTGAAACAAAGTTTATGATGGGTGCAACAGCAACAGTTGCTGGAGATGGTAGTAAATCGTGTTCTGCACACCTTGGTCCTCTGGTGACCATCTTGCCAGAGGACGCGGGCTGCTCGCATGGGCTCACCAGGGATGAGGCTTGGCTTACAGAGCCTGGTCCAGGATGAATGCAAGGGAGATGGTAGTAAATTGTGTTCTGCACGCCTTGGTCCTCTGGTGACCATCTTGCCAGAGGACGCGGGCTGCTCGCATGGGCTCACCAGGGATGAGGCTTGGCTTACAGAGCCTGGTCCAGGAACAATGTAAGGGGTTGGTAAATTGTGGCTTTTTCTGAGTTTATTTCATTTTGATATATTTTTTTTCTTAATCCTCTAGGGAGCCTAGATTGATTCAACTTTGTTTTTACTTAGAACTGTGTTTTCATAGGCTACATGGGAGGGAAAAGCTACTTTTGGGATGCTGGGAGTTTTTCTTGCTGAAACAAAAATGGTTAAAAATTCCCCTTCCCTTCTCTGTCCCCTGCTCCTTTTCCTCCTTACCACCCCAGTCCCAATCTGGCATGTTTCATGTTGATCATAAATTTCTTCACCCATTTTTTTCTGGCAAATGTGTTCATAGATGATGCGGTCACTTGAGCAAATATTTGTCAGAAGTCCTCTCGCCTCCTTTCCCCCTCTGAGCCTTTTGAATGTCTTACATTGAGGAATATTATGCAGAAGTTTATTTTTCCTGGCAGTAAATTCTAGTGACCTGCATGAATGAATGGAATGGTAATAAGGATTATGTCATTTATTTAAATGTCTATTCCTTTCTTATAGAGAAGCAGAAAAGTAAATAATGAGGTTTTTCAAAAGTGAGTAGGGATTTGGGGTGCTAGGTACCCAGCTGGTGGGACCCATAGGAGCCCAGATTTTCCCTGGGCAAATATTCATTTCTGATGCTCAAACCCAATGAGAATAGCAAACCAGAAGTCCAAAAATTCCTTCTGCAAATCCCAGCCTGCATCTTGGAGTTCATCATACTTAATCATTTTACTACTTTTTATTTAACAAGTTAAAGGGTGCAATTGCTAGTTTACTTGGAAAACGTATGGGTGGGAACACTCACCTTAAGATACCTGTGTGGAATTTAGTGTGATTCTCTCAAGAGATGCTGCATTGGGAACTTAACCCAAAAGGGGGATTGATGTTAGAGAGCTCAGCCATTTCTGTGTTGCCAAAAGCTTGTAATAATTCTGGAGGCTGGGCATAAAGTTGCTGAAGCAGTAAATTAAGGCCGGCCAGAAGGGGAAACTCTGACAGTTTTTCTAGTTAAAACAGTCTTACAGAAGTTAATTTTGTGCCTTTTTTCTCCCCTGTTTTCATATGAATTTTCAGTTCCCACAGGGTTGTGGAGTTATGAATGTTTGTTTAGAGGCAATTGCGTTTGTAGACCACCTCTTAGAAATTTCAGTTTGTAATTTTAGATCAAGTTGTGTGTGGAAAACTGTCAGTTGAAAGCCTCTGAAATTGCTTTTCCTATATGGTTTAACTGGTTCCAGAGTTGATTAAGTGTAAGTAATAGCAAATGGTATTAAACATGGTAACATATTACACCAACATGAGCATCTGACTATATGGTGTAATGTAGAGAACCCTCTGATTATGTCACAGATTTGGGAGGTATCCCAGCAAAAATCATGCCAAGTAATGACACAATGCTAGTTAGGAATATCCAGTATTACTTGATGCCAATAACTTTCCAAACCTTGAACTCTTTTGACAATTAAAAGCCTGGAGCCAGCAGGGCTGAGTAGTTTTCAGTCAGAATGTAGGTGTGAAGTATTCTCGTTTTTACCTTGTAATTACTTGCAAGAACCCTCTTAAAATAGTCAACTCAGCTCAGATGGTCTCATTCAAATTTACAAACCTGGCAAAACTGTTGCACTGAATTTTTTTTTTTTTATTTTTTTACAATGGGAGTAGAAAATACTGAAGCAAAAAGCAGCAAGTCATTGGCAGCCCCTCTGTATCGCGCAGGAGACTTGTACACATTGACAGTGAGAGCGGAGAATCGTCCAGTTGAGTTGGCCAAGGATATTCCGGGTTGGGCAATGCTATTCTTTAAATGTTTGGGATACCCCAATCGATTGTTTTTTCCTCTCTCCTCCATTTCAAAACAAGGACTTAGGCTGCTTGCAGGGCTTTGCTCGGGGATACAAGCGTGTTGGATTGCAGTAGCGGCAAATGGTGGCGATACAAAACTCCGTTAGGACCCAGTGAAAAGAGACAAGTTGGTTTTTGCTTTTTATTGGAGTACTACCCAGAGGCTTCAATTAATATCGGATACTTATTGTCCGAGGCAACATGCCAGCGCACAGTAATTGCTTACAACCGAAATGCAGAGAGACCGGGAGAAGGAAATGTCACTGTCCATTTTATAGATGAAAAACCGAGCTGTGGAGCGATGAAATTTCTTGCCCTGGGTCACACAGGAAGCTTGGTGGCAGAGCCAAAAAGTAAAGCTGGTACTCGAATCCTAATCCAGTACCTTAATTAAAAGAATGTTCTTTCCCTTGTACAGTTTAGCCCATCAGCTGGTTTTTACATGCAGTTGAAGTGCCTTTCTGTTCTTTTGTATTTAACAGTAGGTAGAAACTCGCATTTTTATAGTAAGCTTACTAATAGACTAACGCCGTTCTCATTAAACGTATGTAAAGTCATGCAGTCTTAAGGGAGAATGAATGAAAACGATGTGGTTTTCACTTATGAGTTGTATTGTAGTGAATCCGGGTTGTAGGAAGCAACGTGGGAATGCAGCCACTGAGACTTGTATATAATTAGATCACTCTTGGATTGCAATTATCGCTAGAGTACAATTTCAGCAGCAGCAGTTCTGTTTAAGCATGGAAGTAACTAATTGAATTTGTGTTTTAATGGCAAAAAAAAAGGTTAGTCTTTGAACACTTCTAGTGCAGGTAGCCATGTCTGTCCTATTTAATGTCATCATCCAGGGAAACAAAAGATGGTTTGATTTCAGTTGAAGTTCGGCACATTACCTCATTTACTGGGTTTTATAAGCAGCTGCTATAGCACGACACATCTTCCAAGAATGTGTAAGAGGACCCTGCTGTTTACTATAAAAATGAACATAACTTGTCACAAATATATATTTTTTTAAACAGCCCTTTTGCAGCCAGTTTAGCTGTGCTTTGACCAGTGTCTAATTTGCCTAATAGCCGTACCTTTGGTTCTTGTTACTGAGGAGTGAACTCCAGAGGTGGGAGAGTACCACGCTGTTGCCCCTTAACAGTAATTCCTATTTTCATATGAAAACAGTGTGAGAATAACTTCTCATCCAGGAAGCATTTTAAATGGCTCAGTTTAAAGCTTGTGCCCCAGAAAT